ATAGCATTCGCGCTACATTTCCGAATGAAATTTTAGGCATAGATCTTCTTGGTCCCTTTCCCCCAGAGTGAGTTAAATAAAAATCGTTTTCTTTTAGTAATTGTAGATCATTTTTCAAAATGGACAGAAATTGTTCCACTTAAACGCGCGTCAGCCAAAACAGTCGCAGATGCATTCTTACACAGATACATTTTAAAATACGGTGCACCGATAAAAGTCATTAGCGATAACGGAAAACAATTCATTAGTCCAAATATTTGAAAACATATGCACTGGACTTGGCATACGCCATATCAAAATGGTTCCGTATAGACCACAGGCAAACATAGCAGAAAGAGTTAATAAAAACATTGTAAAAATAATTCGCAAGTTACGTTAGCACACATCACAAGCGCTGGGATGGCTACATAAATGAATTAGCTTATGCTTTAAGAACGGCAAATCACGATACTACGGGAAAAACTCCAGCAGAATTATTTTTAGGCAGAAAGTTAATTACGCCTTTAGATAAATTATTCTTTGTGCAACAAAGAGAGCAAGAATTTAAACAGAAAGATGTGCAAAAACTTATTGATCCAGGCGGTTAAAAGCTCGGATACGGCAAGAAATAGACAAAAAGTTATACTATGATAGAAAACGCCGTGAAGCAGATTTTAAAGTTGGGGATAAAGTGTTGAAGCGGAAATTTTCTTTATCAAGTGCCCCAGACAATTTTACTGCAAAGTTAGCTCCAAAATTTGAAGGCCCCTATGTAATTCAGGAAATCAAAGGAGTCGTATTGTACCTTAAGAACGAGAGAGGGGAAATCTGTAAAGCAAGTCCCGACCAGGTGAAAAAAATACTATAATCAAATGATTTTGAAATCCTTAAAAGTTTCTTGCAGGACTCAAGCGTAAAAGAAGTAGAAGGTCCAGAAATAACGTCACCCGTTCCACCACCCAAGAAGCAGAGAACTGAAGAGAGAACCTAGCCCTTCTACAACCCGGACGACGGTACCGAAAAAGAAAAAAACGAATTTCAGACTCCAGCATTTAAGAAAAACAAGAAAGCACAAGCCGCCGCGTAAAGAAAACCGTTGGTAAAGAGGAAAACACCACCTTACAACGTATCGCAGTAGAAATTCTACATCAAGGAGAACGCTCCCAGGGCCAGAGAGTCAGGTGCAAACAAGGCCGCCGTTCCGGAAAACGAAAAGACAGCAGGAGGAACGAAAAGACCACCAACAGAAGAAATTCAAGAAGGACTTCCAGACCGGAGGACGTCCAAGACCAGCCGTCCAGGGCAAAACGGAAAAGACAGCAACCCGACGACTACTCCGCCAAGAGGCCAGCATGCAGAGGGCGAAAAAGAAAAAGCAACGTGGACGACACTCGGAGGACAGTAAGGAGAAGACTGACGTCCATGAAACCTATAACTTGGGAGCAGTTCTGCCAGAAAAGGAATGACGGAGTTTCAATCATCGAAAACTCAAAGATAAGTTAAAATCTTCTATAAATTTTTTTTTCTTTTGTTCCGAAATGTTATGCGTAAATACGAAGTTCTATGTTTTGACGAAAGTCAATATGTCTCGGTTGAGACTTAGTTTTGTTTTACTTTATTTAGCTAAGGCAAAAGTATTATTTTCTTTAAGTATAAAATCTAAGAACAAGCAGTTTCTGTTGGTCGAAAGACTAATTCTGTTATGTTAAAGCCAAAATTTGGCCGAAGATAAAAATAACTTCGTATTCTTGTATTAATAAGAATTTTAGTTTCAGTGCCGCCAGCTTGGCGAAGAATGAGTAAAGTAAAAATTTATTTTCTCTTATTCATTTTATGGTAAATTGTAAAAATCATATGTATTAGAATTTTGTAAATATACGTAAATACTTGAAAGTTATGTAAAAGTAGAATTTAGTCTAGAAGCATAAAATTTTAGATGCTAAAAGTAAATGCTCAAAAGCAATGAATTCAAAATTTAAGTATTAAACTGTAGATAAAATCATGCTTTAGAGCGAAAGCCTGCATGTCTAAAGATGAATGAGGGGGAAGTTAGAATGAATGTGTTTTGTAGGGTTCTCCACCTACACTTGAATTTTAAGAATGTTAAAGTAGCTCATCGAGTTGTAGAATGTCGAGTAAGGTGTGTCTATTTGGTCGTTGAATTCTAACAAATCATGGTGGTTAGGGGAAGTGTTGTAATACTAAAACACGAATATTCCCGTTTGACACCACACATGGTGGAGAGCCAGGGTAAAGTTAAATTAATGTTTGAATACTTGAATGAATGTGAATTAAGCAGTAACTAAGGAAAAAAACGAATCGTTAAAAACAAAAAATTTATTCAGTGTCAAGAAAGTGTAAATTATAATGTATTTAGAAAGATACTGATACTTATTCCTTCCAGATGCTGGAAGGAAAGAACAAGATTGATTGCTGAAGTCCAGGAAAAGGTTGCTGTAAGAAGAGAGAAGTTAAATAAGTATCTACAGAAATTTTAGTATACAATTTGTGAGATAAGATTTTTTTTTGTGTAAACGAGGCTCTTAAAAGTTTAGTTCAGAATTGTGGAAACTTTTCAACAGGTCGTTTGTAGGACCTGCTTCCAAGTTTTCCAAATTCTGGCAGCGGCAAATGTAGGGTTTATATTTATTTTAACTAACATTTATTTTAAGTTTAAACTATCTTTCCTGTCAAGCCTTACTTTCCCCTGGAATTGCCAATGCCAGAGTATGTAAATTTTAGTAGAACGCGCAAGGATTCAAATTATCAGCGGAAGTATTCTGAGTTAAATAGAAGGAAACGAGTTCGAAAGTGTGCTTTCTTGCTTCACGAGCGCGGAGGTAGTTAGTCGAGAATTGAAGAACCCCGCGTTTCGGCCTGTGTGCTTGCCTCGGAAGTAGTTAATCGTTTCAACGTGAATATCAGAAGTTTGCTGAATTATCAGCGGTATCTGTAAAACGCGGTGAGGTTAGTTACGTTTAGAGAGCCTCGTAGTTAGAAGTCTTGTCTTTATTTCTTTTTCAGGTTTCTTATTTTTATTTTACCGCCGGGTCGGGCGTAGTTTGTGAGCGTCAAGAGCACGCATTGTAATTTCTATTACGTTGAATAAAAAGGGACTTAAACCCTTTAAAAGACTCTGTGCTTTATACAAGGTTTCACAGTCACCTCTAGGTTGCGTGCTAGTTAGAGGCGCGCAACGTTATACACTCTGCAGCTAAAGAAATTTTTATTCAACCTTCGAAACTATAATACTGGAAATTTGCACAACGTACGCTGATTCTCAAAGCTATACTATTTCTGTCTGCCGTCATACTGCGCCTCGCTCTATACGCATATCAAACACGTCCGTGATGATTAAGGTTCTCATTTTTTAAAATACGTATGTCCGAAATCTTGGATTTAGTTACATATGTGCAGAAGATTAGTGTTAATGAAGAGGAAAAGCATGGCTTGGTGAATGCATACAATTTTGATGACGACACAATAATCGAACATATACTAAGAAAGGCGATGATAATGAGAAGCAGGAGGAATAAGGGGGAGATAAAGGCGACACACAAAGCAAGGACATTTTACGTGGAAGAACGACTGATTATTATATATTTTTGGGTATAATGTTTATCTATGTCGGCATATGATGCTATGAAGCCTTACTTTTAACTGTTAAGCTTCATGGTTCATCAGCAAATATTTAAAACTCTAACAAGTATTTTGTAAATGGCTGTCATTCTATGTTACATGTTATCACACTAAGAAATTTGTAACTTTCATAATATACATGACAATTCTAAAATATTGTTTATTTTTGTTTTTCTGAAATAGAAAATCATGCGTATGTGTTTTAACCACTTCATTATCCCACTAAATTAAAATATTTGCTTCTTTTTATCCTGGAAAGAAAACATTTGGCAACTAAAATTGGTCTTAGAAATATTACTTTTCCCCTTTCACCAGCTGTGGAGACCTTTTTATAAAACCGCATACTTGTCACACACAAGAATATTCAATAGCCTGTGCCTACCGAAGAGAAAAATTATTTTGCATTCCTTTGTCTATTATCTGAAAATTCACAAAGGCCATCCCCTAAAGAGGCATTTTCAAACGAGCAGTAGTTTTACTGCAGTCTCAGCTGAAAAAAGACCTCAAGTGCATTCCCTGTTGTCCGCGTTTTTAAGACAACTATCCTTTGTATGATCTTGATACAACTCTTCTGCGAAGAAAGCTTGACCAATTAACCCACTGATTAATTCTTTTCATTTTCGTTGCTTTCTGGGCGGGCTGGAATACACGAAGCGACGTGTCTCTCTCGGGGGGAGGGATAGCGAAGCCGACCATATTAAACCCTGACGAGTATATGCATTTGCTCACGCTTCACAACACTTTTCAAATCGGGAAACTATTCAGTTATACATTTCAAATAAATCTGGGGGGGTTCCATATTATTTATATAAAAGTGGCCGATAAATGAAAAAACATGATTGGTAGACTTTGCATGCTCTTATTTCTGTAAATTACATCACAAAATATGAATAAACAAGTTTTAGAAATATGTATTCAGTTATTCGAAAAAATATCTTATTTGAGTTTGGCAAGGTCACGTTGCTGCCACTTAAAACGGATGTTACCGTAATAGAAAATATGAAGGTTCCTATCTACTTTCCTAAATTCTTAAATGTTATATGGACCTAATTATTAATAAAATAGAATATTTTTATTTTTCTTTTCTAGAATTAAATTGCAATATAACATAATGAATAGCGATTTCTTTATTGTTCTTTTGTAATATTTTTAATTCCACTAATTTAAAATGTGCTACGATGTAGGGCAAAAAATAGCTAGACCGGACTTTTGAATCTTTTTTATCATATCTTGCTTTGGGACAATCGTAAATCATTTTGTACAATACATTTTTCAACAAGTCTGAAATGTACATCTTTCACAATCATTTGAAATGAATGTAGATAGGGAAATAAAGTATTACCACATGTATTTTTCGATATATATTTTAACACCTATTACAGGCTCAAACTCTATTACCTGGTCTAGAAATTGAATCTCGAGAAGACATTCATGTGACACCCAGTCACTTGCAGCTGTTCGTGAATTTGGCATTCCTCATCTCGCAGAATGACAGTCGCCTGGAGGAGGCTGACGCGGTAAGTTACAGTCTAGCATTTCTTTTTCAAACATTGTAAATAGAGTTTAACTCCTCTAACAGTATAATAGCTGTCCAGAGATAGTAGAGCCTGTTAAGGTGACTTCCTTTTTTCTGATGTTATCTCTTTAAAATGATAATTTTATGCAGTCCCATTTACTCTAGGGTGAATTTTCTTCACAAAAAATTACAATCTGAAAGCCGTTTTCTGTTGAAGGCTTCCTAAAGTAACTAGCTAAAAGTTGCCTGGTAAGCAATATTTTTTTTTTCGGGGGGGGGTTGTTCGCTACAGTGACATCCTGAAATATATTACAAGTTTTAGTTAAACAGTAGATTTAGTAGAAAACCGCTTAATTAATTTTAATGAAATTTAGTATAATATATTTAATGTGATCGCAAGTAATGTTATCATTCGGATAATGTTATTGATTTTCGAAGTCCCGCTCGTTTGTATATGAAATCATGAAAACTGCATCATTTATTGTGGTTAACTAATTTCTAAAATAAAGTTGACAACTAGCAAAAGTATATTATAAAAATTGCCAAGTGACAGAGAAATATCGCCAAATTAGGTGCTAAATAACCAAATATCTAGGTTTCGATTTTAGTCAACTATTTAAAACTAGGCAACAAAAAAGCAAATGTTTGTTACATTATTATTAGTACACTTAAGTGCCACTGAATTAGAGATACCTGATTAGAAACGACTTGCTCCTTGGCCATGATAACATTTGCCACACGACGAGGCGTAAATTCAACAACGGAAACAAGATGTTGTTTAATAGGATTTAAATACGTAGCTCATTGTAGCCATTTCAGCTGAAAGTACTCAGTGACGAGCTCCATCCGAACGCTCCAAGTTATGTCAATAACTGAAGACTTGGGAGAATATCAATCAACGCCCCCCCCCCAAAAAAAACGCCAAAAACCTGACTCCTGATGAATTTATCCCAAAAGTTCGCAAAGCCAAATATCTTGGTATCACATTCAACAGCAAACTTAATTGGAAAGATCACATCGAAAATGTTAAGAATAAAGCAACAAAATTCATCAGTTGCCTTTTTCCATTTATTGGCAATTATTCCAAATTAAACTTAAGAAAGAAACGTCTCATTTATACCTGAATTGTGCGTCCACTCCTTACCTACGCTTCACCGGCCTGTACTGGTCTTACCGAAAATGGCCTTCTCTAACTCCAACAAGTTTAAAGTAAATATCTGCGCATCATTACTAATGCACACTTCTACGTGCGCGATCAAAGATTGCACGAGGACCTCAATATTGAAACTACTGATAAGTTTCTCAACAAACCAATAAAACTTTCTGCAGAAAAGGTACTATTTGTAACCATATCACGAATTTTAACTTGTTTAAATACGAACTTTACAGTATGACAAAGAATTGTGCTCTTATGCTGCACATCTCATAAGCGATTTAAATTTTCCAGCGTTAACAGTACTCATGCACTCCTGTATTGGTATATATTGTATATAGTTATTTTTCTGTCTCTATTTGAATTTTTTGTATCCTTTTTTATCTCTATTATGACGTTAATCTCATATTCTAATTCATTAGAACTCTGGTCTGATCTCTCAAACCTAGGAGAAAATGTTCTCCTCTCTTCCACATTCGTTAAATTTTCTCTTCTGGGAATCTCACTTGATGTATTTTTATTTGAAGTGCCTTTGGGCAGTATTTGTTATTTAACCGGACGTATTGCGAAATTCGAAATGTTGCGGCATAACGTTACCGATACCGATACCTCGAACCAGACGTTAGCCAATGAAATCTGTAAGAGGAAGAGTTATCCTAGGGTACGCTTCATATTCGGATAACGGAAAAATATGAATCGATATAAGTGATCGTCCATCAGATATACTTGCAGAAAGAGTGCTTGGTTGGGAGTATTAAAGATTCCAGACTTTGCCAAGAGAACAAGGTCATCTCGGAAGTTATCATGACCTTTCATAGTTCGAATCTCAGATCAATGAATTCATAGGGTTGGCACCGTATTCTTATCATAGCACCAATGTGGTGCAGTCAGAAAGGAGACCCATGGATCTATACTATTTTCGTCCAATCGTCGATGATCAGTGGCATAGCTAGAAAGGGTGGATCGGCCTCGAGCGACACATTCTTAAGAGCGGTGTAAAACATTATTTTAGAGGGAATAGTCAAGTGGATCGTTGAGGCAAATATCATCTATTTCGACGGATATAAATTAAGACGAAAGAGGTTTTACTCTAGGTAACGTATTCAAATAAATCCCCACATGGTTTCAACAACTGTAGACCTTTATTATACTTTTTTTTATTCCGTCGAAACTTCTGAATGGTAATTTCGAATATCAATTAAATTATAATCGCTGAGACATTAGTAGGAACTCGTTAAAAAAGAGAAATATTTCAGGGTTTAATTTCTATTACTGTTAGAAATCGAAATATGAAAGTGGAAGGGCGATCCTTTTAAATTTTTATAGTTTATTGTGTAATAAATTTCCCAGAAGAAAGTTCCAAATATTGTTACACTGGTGCCAAATGGTCCGAAATTATTGCTAATTGTGTGAAGCGGTTTGTAAATAAAAATTATTTTAGTATTTAAGAACTATAAATATATATTTTGCAGTTAAAATCCTTTCTACTGCCTGCATAGCAACTGAACAATCACACTGACCTCTACAATGTCACTGGCGGTTTTGCGACCAACAAAGTCAAGCAGAATAATGTAATTTTAAACTACTGATAATAAAAACTTTTCTTTTCAAATAATGCAGAATATTAATTTATTTCCTAAATGTCCTTTTGACATTTTTTGTAGTTATTTGCTTCTACACCAACAGAGCGGCAAATAAGGGACCGCCCCAGCGATAAAATTTATAGCTATACCACTGTTGTTGGCCCATTCACAGTCCTCTGTAGCCCCTGAAAATGTCAAGCGCAGTGGCCCGCAATAGGTACTCCATATAATGAAACGAGCTGCACACTCCGTCTACTAACAGACCCGTGTGGACCTATCATTCAGTTGGGGAGACATTTAAAAGCTCCACTTGGTGTCGCTGACTACTTACGAATAAGCTGAATATTCAATGACGATGATCATTGAAGGTTGCTTGTACCTTGTTTACAGGTTCGCCTGATTACACTTTCGCCTGATTACACTTTCTTTTTACTTCCTTGTTCGATGAAAAAAGGAAGTATTGTAATCGCGAAACGTTTCAGGCAGCATATTTCTACGAAAATATCCATTTTGACTGCTATCGAATGCAATTTAAAACGATGTTTTTGCATGATATCTGTACGTAAAAACCGAATAAAAGACTTGTTTCATCCAAAAAAATTATAAAACTGCTTTAAAATTAATTCTGAAGAGAATTTTTCGTGGCGTCTGTACGAACGTATGTACGTACGTACTTATCTCGCATAACTCAAAAACGAGTAGCCTCAGAACGTCGAAATTTTGTATATAGGACTGCTATAACATGTAGATGTGCACCTTGTATTTTGGTTGCAATCGGCCGCACCAAATGTATATAAATATATTTATATATATATATATCTACTCTGTTACCCGACTCGGTGATCTCAGTTTCTTTACTCTTATATGTTTGTAAATTGTAAATTTTTTGCTTTAAAAACGATTGATTTATGTTGTTTTTTATGTTGTTAAGGTTTCTATGCTTTTGTAAATCTTTATGCAATATTTTTAGAATTATCAACAATTTTAAAGTTGTTTAAATGCCGCTAAGCCTTTATTTTCATGGCGGCCATTGATTGTTTACATTTGAAACAGCAAACTAGTGGATTTGTTGCCAATCTAGAGAAACTTAGCTTTGCAACAACAAAGATAGCGCCTTTAATTTTTATTGCCAATTAAATCATGCTTAATCCTTTCTGGAATTTTTTCAAGGAAATACGTGTTTAAGATTTACTTCGTAATTTTTAATATAGATATTTTGAGTTTTTATGTATTTTTGCCTTCTCGCGAAGTGAGAATTGAATTAATTGAATGAGAAATACTCAATCGTCTGTGAAAAACTGTTTCTTTTTTGTTTTGTTTGCTTAATTTCTTTTATACATCGTTCTAGCTTTATTATAGTATTTGAATAGAACATGTGGCAACGATTAGATAATTCTATTCTTTAAATGATATAATTTTTGTGCATTATGAGTTATAATATGAACGAAATATAGTACTGTGAAGTGAATCTAGCGCCAGAGTGTCGCTATGATAAACACATATTAGAGTGAATTTTAAAGAATGCATTTATTCTATTGTGGTTTATGCAGTGTCGGCGAAGTAGATTTAATTTAATCCAATAAGTTTAAATGTAATGCAAGAAAAAATGCGTATAATTTAATATTCCGTACAAGGAAGTCATGTGGTGTACACATGGGATTTTTTTACTATTGGTATACTCCAGCCACACTCTTGAAATCGTTGAATGAGAAAACTCCAACTTTCGACCTGTTACTAAAATTAAAATAACCCATGCTTGGTTCAGGTGTTATTTTACTGCGATCTAAAGCATTGAAGTTACCAATTTTACCTCTAGCTTTATTGTAAAAAACTGAATGTTTAAAAAGTTGAACCGAGAAAAGAGGCAAAAGCACTAATTGAATACAGCCACAGTGCTATTTAACTCCGATCCAATGGCATTTCAGTGTTTTACAGTTTGTGCTACATGTATTAATATTATTTATATATTTTATTTCAGCTTTACAAAGAAGCCATTACCCTTCGATCAGATTTTACTAATGCCTATTTAAACAGAGGAAACGTACTATTGAAAATGAACAAGTAAGCCCACTTTCGTTTCTTTCAAAATGGTGTGGTGTGGTGTATTTAATTATGGCAAAGCACACTAGAGCTATCTGCCTAAGGGGAGGGATGCCTTCGTGGAGGACTTTCTAAGGGAAACTGGCTCGTATATACGTTACACATGGGGAAAACCACGAAAACACCCATGCAGCCAGCCCGTTCGCGGGAATCGAACCTCGGACCGAACTACCAGTGTTCAGCGTCTTTACCGCCCGGCCGCTGGTGGGCTCTTTCAAAATGAGATTTAAATGAGTCAACTTGTTTGAGTACTATGTGTCATACAAATGTCTTCCAGAAGACATTTATGGCATTCTATTACACGTGAAGCTTTGAGTTTGATTGATAATATCAGGAGAAGGAGTTAGATCTATCCAATTTTATTTATTACTTAGCTTATAATTTCTAGTAGATGTTTATAATTTTATATAATGGTTTCTAATTTCCCCCCCCCCAAATTTTGTTTGTTAATCAATGCAGCAATATAAGTCTTTAGTATAGTGGGTTAGCTTTTAAAAATCATGTAATTTACTGTAATTTGTGTAATTTAATTTAGGTTACTTAATATTTTTATGATATTCTGTTTTAGTGTATCAATGAAATATTCATCTTATATACACTAAACTAACCTGTGAATGAAAATGGCGGAAAAGTTACTTTTCTGTTAATTTTTCTCATAACTTTAACTGACTACTTTGTTTAGAACGAAAAGGTATGTTCCTGCAACTTTTTAATTGGCTTAAATAAAATATAATTAAAAAAATAACGTATGATAAATGGAAGATAAAATTGTGGACACTATACTATATTGTACTACACTGCTTTGGTACGGTACAGTATGACTTGTTATTTTCAGCCTAATATTTTACTGTTTATATTAGGATTTGTTGTATTCTGTAAATTATAAAAAAAAGTCTGATGTAGATATTGCATGATTTGTACGGCCTACTAAATTTTACATATTTCCTCAAATTATTTGAACTTAACCTACCTCTCGAGGCTATTTGAAAATGGCATCAAAAATTGCAAATTTTGAAATTAAATATCCCCATCAAATTTTGCCGTAAGGGAGTGAGACAGCATTAAAAGTTACAATTTTTTATTTATCCATTTTTTATTAGACATTGCCAAAACACAAATATTTTCGTCATTTAAAACACTTCTGTAATTAGAAGTATATGCTTACGATAAACGATTGCAAAAATCAAGTGAAATACACCATACGTAAGTACAAACATTGCCAAAAAAATCCATTTTATAATCCGTTTCGAAATATGGCCTGTATATACGTACAGACGTCACCCAAAAAAAAAATCAAAATCGATTCGGTAACGGTCAGAAAGGATATTTTCATTGAAATATGATCCCGAAATATTTGGCTTTTACAGTACTTCCCTTACTTCGTAAAAAGAAGTAAAAATACAAGACGACGATGAAAGAAAAAGTTTGGGATATCCTGTTCTAGACATTCTAAACATCTTCGGCCAAAATCAATTCGCACAGTGTATAGCAGCGTCATTGTATTGACGGAGATTTTCTTAGAAACTGGCGTTGCAGTCAACATGTTAAAAAGAAATAAAAATCCTTTCAATTAACATTTGTTTCTCTTTTCCCTTTAATTATAGCAATATTTTTAACCTTGTTTAAATTACCTGAATTATACTCAACACATTTTCCACAAAGTTTTAGTCCCCAAAGTCCCAAAGTTAACTTCGCGGATTGCCGTTTTCCTGTACACGCAAAGCATTAATAACGTAACTGTTTTTCCTTCCAAGAAAGATGAAATTGTGCTATTAAGGAAATTCGAACAGTGAAAGTAATAAAAAGAATTTTAGCTTTTCAAAATGTATCTCTCGAGGTTCCTTACTGCCTTCTATCTTGGAAGTTTCGTCTTTTGTATCACTAAAAGAGAGAATTTTCTATTCAATCAACATTTACGCAAACGTGAGCTATTTTTGCATCTACTATTCTTCCAAATACCCAGCTTTCAATGTCACGTCCGTTTTATAAGACTCCGAAATAGTTTTTATTCACTGCACTGTCTTCATTAACCTTTCATGAGTTCGGCCAATTGCATGAAATATTCAAAGACCCAAGATAGTTAGGAACATAAGGAACATAAGACACTTTGGTGTGGCAAGCAAATTCTTTGCGATCAAGATCTTTATATGTGGTGACGCCTCCTGTTGTTGTCAATGAATTATTTCCCAAGTTTTTGTACATCTACAGTAGATGCTGCTTAATTTGATTGCGGCTGATATTACCGATTTGCCGAAGCCCCGCCCGTTTAATATTTTCAAAATATTACAGAATAATCTTTTGAACTGTAGTCGTCAGATAAGGTCAAAAATTATTAAAAAATTGCCAGGTATCAGAAAACGCAGCCAGACAGCTTGTTTTTGATTCTTGTTAACTACTTAAAACTAGTCCAAAAAGCAAGCTCAGTTTGGAGTAGATTTTTAATAACGCTTTTCACTTTAATGGTGATCAGACACAGGTCCCTTTTCTTCAATAAATATAACTAATAGGTATTTTCACAAAAGTTTTCTTAGGAAAACACAAAAATTTGTTTGTGTTGGCGCATTTGTTTATGTAGTTTATGCTTCAGGGAAAATTTTTTTAAGGGTCAGGCGAAATCTGCACTCCTGAAGCTCCTAGAAAAGAGGGTCCTGTATCTGATCATCCTCAAAATCGGCAGAAATTTTCAAAATCTAACCCAAATTAGGGTTGCTTTTTTGTTTAGTTTTAAATGGTTGAGTAAAATCGAAAATAATCTATTTCGTGACATAGAACTAATACCTTATGTAACGATATTTTTCTGACACTTGGAAATTTTTATAATTTATTTTGACATTGTTTAGCGACTTTACTTCAATTAAAAAAATATTCTATAAAACTCTTATAATATTAACCGAATTGTAGATCTTAATAAATGATGTATTTTCCATGTTTTCGCATACAAACGAGCGACACTTAAGCACAATTCTAAGTTTTGGAAGTTTTTAATATTTTCTATTTAAATAGCATGCTTTGTCTTATGACACAGTTTGTGTTTAAATGTACCTCATTTAAATTAAGATAACATTAAATAATCACTGAACATAAAAACAATTACTGTCATTTATAAAAGCATACATATTTAATACTTTATAAATCACACTATTTTTAGTAACCACACGATTATTATTGATGATGGATTTCTAAACCAAATATTTAACAGTTCTCCGATAGTATTCCTACGATTTGAAGTAATGATGAAACTGATTTTCTAAACCATTTGCAAACCTAATGAACTGAGAGTAATCTTAGGCCATCCAATAAATCGAAAGTCCTTTAAGGTAGCCAGATTAGTTTCAATTAATTGATAAAGGTAAAGCAACTCGAAGACTATTTGCCTACGAGGAGGGGTTGCCTTTGGATGATTTTCATGGAGAACTTTTAAAGGAAACTGGCTCATATCCACGTTCTACAGGCAAACCTTAAAGACTATATCTAAATGATTGCCACAAAAAAAGGTCTATTTATTATAAAAGAGGAACAAAGTGCAAAAACCTTGTTCCATTTATTGAAAAAAAAAATTTTAGTAAAGGGGATTATGATTCTCGCAGAATTCTTTTACAATGGATAATTAAAAATAAGAGTGGGAGGATGTTAAAATCAACGTACAAAGTTCCGAGGTTTTTAGAAGAAATTCCATTACTCTTAACCTGAATGATTTTTAAAGAGCGAAACTTCATCAAGACGAAGCAACAGGCTACACTTTGAAAAGTGTCACTGCGTTTCTTGAAAAAATGAAGATTGATACAGGATTGAATATCTACCTTTACAAAGTATTCCTCACGTTTTATTTACGCACTATTGCGCCTGGGGTATCTTAAAAAGAGCTCTTTCTAAGCGCAAGACCACCGTAACTCCGGAAAGTAGTGGAAAAGGAATAAAAATCAGTATCACTAAAATTTTTTTCTAAAAAACCTTCTATCACGAAAATAGGAAGTAGAGTTATAGTCCAGAAAAAAAGGCTATCAGATGGAATGTTTTAAAAAATACTCTTTACATTTTAAACATTTTAAACGTTCTTTACATTTTAAACGTTGACTGAATGATTTGGCATCCCCCAAATCATTCTATGTGTAAACACCCTCTGCATTTTTGTGTATAGTCTTAGACTGCGTTACGAACATTTGATTTTAACTTCATCTTACGTTATTTCTAGACATATCAGTACCCTACAAAGTCATAGAATTTTACTTAAATACACTAAAAACAGGTAAAAAATCCGTCTTTCGAAGAGTTGGTGTATTTCTAATGCTTGCTTCAATAAAATACAGAGAAAATCACGTTTAAGCATTGCAAACTTCAATAATTCATTCCGTCTAATTATTAAAATGAAATGACTAATTAATTTGAAGCATGAGAGTTCTGATAAGAAAGACTCACACTTTTGCTTTTTAAAAAATGAAAAGAGAAAAATTCCTTAAAAATTATTTTGCAATCAGGTATGTTGCTAAGACACACACAATAATTTGGTAAAGGTACATGTTATTTAGATATTTTGCTTTTAAAACGATTGATTCATTATAGTTCGTAGTTTGTCCAATAAATGCATCTAAACGTAAACAAATAATTATATTACTGTCTTAAAATGCTAGATAAAGTATTGTCTTTGGCACTATAATTCATAATGCTTTCTTATTATTAAACATTTTAACTGAAAGCAATACTTAATTTAAGTTAAAATTGAAACCTTAAGCATACAGATGAGGAACACTGTTAAAATATATGATATATACCATATTTCATTGCGTATTTGTCCCTACTTTTATCGTTCGAAACTCGAGAGGTGAAAATTACGCGACTAATTTAATTTTCAACGGAAGTGGATACAGTAAAAACATAACAATTAAAAGGTAGTCGTGAATAAACTATAGGTACTAACAAAACAACTGAATTCCGAAAGATTCAAACACATCAGCAGTAAGTAAGGCTACAATAAAATGGAATGTAAATAATAGAAATAAGGTGAAATTGCATGTTTGTAATTTTTTTAAGTCTGAGAATACCTCTCACGTCCAGATAGCTTAATAAAGAATTTGCAAAAAATATCTTTCAAACAATAAATGCGAGGCAAGTAAAATGGACGAAACGCAAATACAAATTGAATGCATTTTGAATAAAATAAAGAATAATCAAGGAAATACAATTTGCCAACAAACTATGCCCTCAGAGGAAAACACTAGGTACTATAGGAAAAGAAGTAACCATGCGATTTTTTATTTATTTATTAATTTTATTCTTTTTTTAATTTTCAGAGCCTATAGCTCAAACTTTAGGGGAGAAATGAAAGCTGCGAGGAATATATAATACGGTAATATAAAGAGCAACATACGAGTGTAATAATACGATATAATATACGACTGTGGCTTTATTCGTGGCCAATAATTATCGACCACCTGGTTAACAAAGCACACCCAACACACATTAAAACAAAAATACAGTTAAGGACATCAAAGCAAAATTCCTAATATTGTTGTTCTATTGCCATTTATAAAATTCATCAAATCATTTGAAAATCTAAACTCTTTCCGGTGGTAATAGAATTCCTTTACGTTACTATATTTTCCCTTACATGTCGCAGCAGGTAATAGATAATAGATACAATGCAATATAATAATATACATATTTATGTCGAAAGAGCAGAGAGCAGGACTTTTAGAGATATATGTTGAGGACAGATTTTGTGCATAAAAGACGTTAACGATCATAATGGCTTATTTCCCACATTTTATTTTGTATTTTATTTTATTCTTGAGAAGCACATTTTCAGTATGAGTTATGTATCGTATTCTACTGCCCGCTTGGATTACCGGTATATCTATCTACCTTGCCCGCTTGGATTACACTTTTGTCTATTCTACAGCCTACACGATGAGCTGAAGAGAGAGGTACGCAGTGACATGTTCAGAGGACAGTAAGAACAGCACGTATGCGACCTGTGTAAGATGAAAATTAGGCTCAGAGTGATTTGAATTACAGTTCCCAGATTTTCCTCATATATAGATTTGGTTCCAATTGAAATCTTATTCGCTGAAACGTTTATGGAAATTTTTGCATCATAAATATTATGTAAGAATCACATGACATGGATTGGTTTGCTTTGGTTTATTTGATTATGCACGCGAGGGCTATCTGCCTAAGAGAAAGGAGGGAAACTGGCTCGTATCTACTTTACACATGGGAAAAACCGGAAAAACACCCGTGCAACCAGCCCGTTAGTCGGGAATCGAATCCTGGTCGAACTACAAGAGCTACTCGGCCACCGATGGGCTGGAATAATTTTAAAATGACGCAGTTTAGGGAGACTATTTTTATAAGTAGTTACTATTTTTAAGACCATAAGAAGAAGTTAAAATGCAGAGTTAAGAGACTATTGCAAAGAAGTTAGTATTTTACCCTAAATATTTATCTCCCACGCACATATATTTACGTACAAAAGGATAACAACAATCATAAAAGTGATAATAAAATCATGTATTTGTATTTCGGCTTGACATTACAAAAAAACTACTATGTTGGCAGAAAACTGACATCAGTTAATATCAACATCAGGTACAAAAGCAGTACAATTATTTACAAAATAGGTACCGAATCAAAGATTAAGAACGTTATTCCTATTCCAGCGCATTTTCTGGTGTAAGCAGCCCAACACTATGGCAAGTATAGAATTATAATTACAGTGCACTTGAAAGAAGTTGTCACCGTACCTCTCTTAGCTTGGATTCCCAGCTAATACTTAAACGCACTTAATTTGCATATCTTGCGATGAAATTAGAAATTGAGGGAAGATTTAACATAAGCAAATAAAATGTTAACTAAAATAAACATTAAAAAATGATCAATGATTTATTGTATTTTATGACTTCTTATTTTTTACATCTAATTTATTTTTTATGTTAGTTTAAGTATCTTTTTTAATTACTTTCCCTTTCTAGGACGAAAGAAGCAGAGGCGATGTACCATAGAGCTCTAAAGTATGACGAAACTAATCCAGATTTGTATTACAACGTGAGTTCTTATTCACTTTTAATAAGCAATATAACAAAAGCTCGTTTCTTCCACTTACTGATCCGTAGGAATTTTCAAAGAATTATTACCAGTTAACTCTAGAAAGGCAATCGAAATTCAACTGGCTGAGAATTGCTTAGACAGTGGTCTCAGACTGCCATGCGAACCAAATGCAAAGGATGCAAGCAGCTGTCGAGCCAGAAGTTTTAAAGCAAAATGAGAGTGAATTATATATATATATATATATATATATATATATATATATACCCAAGCTTACTAGACTGTCCCGTTTTAATGGCATGGTCGCTGCATTCCAGTCAGTTCGCTGTTTTGTTTCGGTTATTTGGTTAAGTTTTAAAAATGCCGAATATACAAAAGGGAAAATAGTACAGCTTCGGATAAAACGGCGATTTGTCAATTAAAATATTTCCTCTTTCACAGTATTACCAATCTAAAAATTTTGTATCTATATCTAAGTATTTATAATGTTGTCTAGAGGTTTTCCATAAAAATTGTAACATATGTCTTTTCTACAGTGAGCAATGGAGATAACTAGGGAATCTGGGAAAATAAAAGTTATGAAGAAAAATATATAGAACTTTCCAGTCATTCCGAAGATTTTATTTAAATATCAGAATACATTTTTCAGTATGTCAGGAGCATCGGCATCAGTCGAAAGAGTATTCTTAATAATGAATATCATACGGTCTGAAAAAAGGGAAGGAAAATTTGGATCAAACGTAAAAGCTTCACAAAGTTTCCAAATTAACCACGACCTAAATTGCAGTGAATGTGTAGATGTCTTTATAAATAACACAGAATTTTTTTTAAAGTTCACACCAGTAATAAATATTAATAACTTCTTAATACTAAGGTATGTTCAGTTATGATATTTAAAACTTCCTTTAACTCACTGTTGCTTTTGGTTAACAACTTTATTTAGATGTTTTTGTCACAGATACTTATCCTAGTGCGTTTTATTCTCTGATGTGAGTATTTTCTCGAAATAGTCACTGTTTAAGCGGAAAATATTACAGTTAGCCTATATATATACATGTACGTTATACAGACTGATAATTAGCAAAGAACGATTTAAAATGTCAACAGCATTTAACAATCAAAAGTGGTAATAAGCTTAACAAAAAGATAAAGTTAAAAGTAATATTAAGAAGAAAACTGGGAGTTTCTAGAGTAGTTTTAACAGCGAGCACAAATAAAAAGATTTTACAAACCATAAGTTAGTTTGTCTCCATCTGTACAGCAACCCAACTAGTGCAGAGTTTCTCAAACTATAGCACATTTACCACTAATGGTACATTTGATTATTTTCCTCAATATATCAATAGAAAAAAAAAACATGTATTGAATACTAAAGTGCCACAGACTGTTGGCTGGTAAACTAAATTTACTGACTCTACCGACATGGAAAGGTCTCCCATGTGACCCTGTCACGTAGCCTTACATGAAACCATACAGTGTCAAAATCTCAACCTATTCATTCTATCTGTTTTCTCCTTCAGTACTCATTAAATAAGCTCTGTCCTTATCTCAGTGTCTTAATGCGTTTTTAACAAGTACATGTATGCGAAACTAAATGTAGTGAAAAAACTCAAAATTGTCTCATCTCTAGATATTCTGACTACAGTGAGCTCCGACATAAAATGTTTAGTCAAATACGACAAAATAAAACAGCCTTCTTAATTTTTGAACACTTAATACAATTCTATTTACACAGGTATAGTTAAAAATTATTCACGCCTGCAATTAAGTAAGAAACTTTACTTATCTCCATATCGATAATAAGCTTGGCATGCTTTAACCTAACTCGAAATCGTTTAGAACAGCAGCCCAAACGGTAAAGTGGTTACATACTCTGAATACCGTACAGAAGAATCTGCTTTCGAATCCCGGAGAAGGCATGGATGTATTTGTCAGTCACCTCATAAGAGGCAATGGTGACCCACAATAAAGTGACATCGTTTTCGGCCTTAATAGTGGCCAACATCTGTGGACAGCTTGGGCCCGGCATTTAAAAAAAAAAATCGTTTAGAGCTCTAACATTGCCATTTTAAAAATGAGGGCTAACATCTCAATTTTAGAAAGGAGGGTCTCATTATCTAATCTCAATAACTTGAAAAATTCCTCAAACTGTGCAGAGGATTTCATTTCGAATATCACGCAGGAGAAAAACAAAGAAATTAAAAATGCCTACTAAAAACTAAAGTTAATACCGAGATACCCTTAAACCTATGAACTTTCGGTCGATAGCACGAAAATTCTCAATGCCCGCAAATCATATTTTCTGCAACTATGATTCCTGTCGTTGCGGCCAGGCAAAATTTTCACCAAAACGTGATAGATACAATGGCATAATTGAAATGCATTCTTCGCAGGCCGTGTAAAATTGCTCTGTAGTCTGCTAGTTTGAGAGCAATGACCTAGGCAAAATATCAACCACTTGTATTTTTAAAAGACAGTGTATATTTTAAATCCTAAAATCGTGAAAGCAGAATCTGATTTACACAAGAGCAAATTAGGCATATAGTGGCACTAGCTTCCACTTTCTAACAAGTATCCAAATCATTACAGACCAGAAGTTCTTAACGGGGTCGATGAAATTTTACAAGTGGTTAGTGATGATCAAGGAGCGAATTAAGACTCTATAGCCGAATGTATCCCATCGATATATCGGCATAATCAAGATTCTATTGATTAAAAAAATTATAAAGAAAACTGATGATTAAATATGTATTGATATAAAGCTTTATCATGTACGAGTATTAAGGAAGAAATCATATACAATAAATACAAAGGAAAACGGTATCCCATCAAAATAGTCTATAACAAAGACCATGACAAAATAGCCTAAATCAAAGACTGTTAAACTGGATCTTGCGAAACGTTTTAAAATTTTTAAGCGTCTAAATATATACAGGCGATATAAAATAGTGCCATTGAAGACTGCCAATGTAGCAATTACATGTTACACGTAAATGCATTATAAAAGATATACACGTTCAAATTTGATCTTGTACACATATTTACATACGCTAGCTAATAAGATATGTTTCACAATCATTTGTCAAGTAGGTTGCCATAGTAATAATTTACGCATACTACTTACCGCGGTGTACAAAAGCTTAGTATCCTCTGGCCTCCGTTCTAAATTATAATTGTTATATAATTTGCAGAAGATTTATATGTTTTGCCCGAAAATGCATAAAGGTATTGCAATAATTTTAATGTATAAGTGTCAACAAACATTAATTTTGTTTTTATACTGGTCTTATATGCCTAAATTTTGCTTTTAAAAAATATATAAAGTATAGAAAATAATTTTATTCATTTTTAGATACTAAAGCTGGATGTGAGTTTTGTCGAATAATATAAGTATAAAAGTCGATATTCGCATAAAGTGCTTTTAGAAATGATATAGTTGGTGTTGGTGTATTTAATTATGGCAAAGCACGCTAGGGCTATCTGCCTGAGGGGACGGATGCCTTTCGTGGAGGACTTTCTAAGGGAAACTGGCTCGTATACATGTTACACATGGGGAAAACCACGAAAACGCCCATGCAGCCAGCCCGTTCGCGGGATTCGAACCTCGGACCGAACTACCAGTGTTCAGCGTCTTTACCGCTCGGCCGCTGGTGGGCAGAAATGATCTAGAAATTCAATATTTATAGTTTAAGCTATTTTGTCGTATCCTAGTCTTGGGCTATTTTGACAAGTCACAAGGGAGAACATACGCCAAAACTGTGAAATATCTGATCTTGATGTTATCGTATAAAAACAGTAAATTGCAGTGAAAGAGGATATTCAGTCACAAGTCTTATTCAAATTACATGGGTTCGCTAAGTTTTAAAACTTAAAAGATATCTAAGAGAAATATCTCGAATTAAACTACTACTAGTTGATACTAAACCAATCTCATTTATTTTCTGATTTGTATACATACTTCCTAACCTACTTATCCACTACAAGGTCAATCCTTTAAGCTCAGTTATTTATTATGTGAGAGGAGCAAGTTCGTAAAGATGTTCTGGAATTCTAAATATGGCATGAAGCCTCAACACATTTAAGGGCAACAAAAATTCTCAGCTCATAAAGAATAGTTGGTGGTCGATGTCTAACACTGTGGCCAATGGGAACGTATTATACCCATACAGATGTTAACATGTCAAACCTTCATTTAATATTTGTGATTAGCTCTTGGATTTCATAGAAATTGAAGATACCGTATTTTCTGGTGTAAAACGTACATCTATAATTTTAAGCCACATTTTTTAATTTTTAGTTACATGCACTGTGTAATGCGCACCCAATTCTTCACGAAAAAACCTAAAAGATACATGAGCAATGCTCCAATCTTTCGAGGTCACTTATTCAAAGATTTGTCTAGCCTTTCGAATAATGGTATACCGAATTAATAAGAGATAAGGGGAACAATATGTGTGTGGGTTAAATGCTTGAGAGAGTAATTATTCCTGCAAAAAGAGTGGATTGTATTCAATGGAAATGTCCAAAAGAATGCTATTGTAGGTATCGAGAAAATGTTGATATAATTTGGAGTAAGAATGCACTTCCAACCTAAATAAAATCGTGAAATTAGGAGTTAAGATAGTAGGGTCTCTCCCTTCTATCTACAACTTAAGTGTAGAGAAGCCTAGTGAACAGCTAAGCGAATAATCGCTTAAATTCAGTAACAGAAACATAAAGCTCAAGAAGGTTTAATTAGCCTTTATTGCTCAAAATCAAGAATAACAGTCGGCCCGTTTCTCAGGGTGTACAGCAAAGCCTCCACTTGGTCTTAAACTCAAAAGTGAAAGAAATAAAAATTTAACTAATGTTTAACTAAATAGATGTAGCCGAAGCTAACATAAATATAACTAGTTAGCCCCTAAATATCGAATTAGTTAGCGAAGCTATCAAGGGCCCTTAATACGGCCGAGCGTAGTAACAGCTTAGAGAGATGGGGTCGAAAGGCAAACGCGCGCTAGTCGGAATCTCTGATTCTCCCTTTAGAAGTCAGTGGAACTTCGACTTAAATACTATTCCTACTCATTTGCATTAAATGCGATTCTAAAACCACCTTCTGGTAGGAAATTGTAAGCTGAAATTAGGATGGATAGGAAAGGAGCTTAAAAATAACTGTGAAAAACCTTACAAGGATAAACCTTACAAGATGTATACTCTTTCTCTTGTCATTTGAGGCCCACCAGCGGCCGAGCGGTAAAGTCGCTGAACACTGGTAGTTCGGTCTGAGGTCCGAATCCCGCGAACGGGCTGGTTGCATGGGCGTTTTCGTGGTTTTCCCCATGTGTAACGTGTATACGAGCCAATTTCCCTTAGAAAGGCCTCCACGTAGGCATCCCTTCCCTTAGGCAGATAGCCCTAGTGTGCTTTGACATAATTAAGTAAACTAAACCAAACCAAACCTGTAGTCATTTGAAGCCGTGATTTTGAAATGAAAATCGGAGGCTTAGTAAATCGCATTTGTTTTAGTTGAAATACGGTTGATCTAGTGTTCCATTTAATAGTAAAATATGACTCCCTCGAAAAAAAAAAAAAAAATACAGTGCTGCTTTCAAATGCAAAGCCATTCATTTTGCGAAAGAAAATGAAAAGCGTGCTGCAGCAAGGATGCTTGTTGTTGGTAAAAGATGCAACGGATAATAATTATTTATTTATGGATCAAAATAACAATGATGATGAAGATGAAACAAAATTCGATGATACGCCTGAAGATTTAAGGGGAGACGAAGATGTCGAATTCTTTATGTTATCTGATAATGACAATGTTTAATTTCAGATGGTATGTCATTTCTTTTAAATAAGCAGGATTTGGGTTCATGTAAAAAATGTAATTTTTTCCTTATTTTTTTAGATATTTTTACATCCGGCGTATAGCGAGCACCCGTAAATTTCTGTCCTATTTTTTTTTTTTTTTGTATTAAATGTGCGCGTTATACGTCGGAATATACGGTAATTTGATTTTGGAGCACGAGCTAGATTTTGTCAGAAAATTTCACACTCTGGGACTTGCTTATTTTCAGAATCAGCAAGGAATCTTAATGCTAATGCACTTTTTCTGCATAATAAGTTTTAATGAAAGAAGCATACCAACAATTTTCTGTTTTTCAGTTAGGAGTTGTTCTAACGGATCAAGGAAGAAATGCTGAAGCTTTGGAATTCTTCAACAAGGCTTTAGATTTAGAGCCTAATCACGAAGTATGCAATTTGTTTTTTAAATTTTATTAATCCCTTAATAACGCGTTAAGTAATAAAATGTAAACAACACCTAAATTAGAAAATAAAATAGCAAATGGAGTATCATTACTTCATTCACAGCTTTTTTTTTCTACTATGTATTTCACACTGTATACATTACATACAGTGTACTCTTGATTATCCGGGCTAATGCCAGGAAAGCAGGTCAAGGATTATTGAAAAACACGGATAATACAAACTATTATTTTCCTGCATATTGTATGTGCTTATCTCTTAATATCAGGATTTATTTTTTGAATGTTTAAATATAATTAAGACATAATAACACGCAGAACAAATACTAATTCAGAAGTCAAACAACAAACATTTGAAAACGCTGATTTTTGTTGTTTGACTTCTGAATTAGTTTAAATATATGTGGAATTTTACTGCGTATTTTTCGAAATGTTCTTTTATCAATGTATTCAAAGCACCTATGGTCTAAGTTGTTTTGTTCAACGAATATCAGAAATAGTTTACGCGCCAATTCTATATTCCTTGGGAAGCATTTATTGTCGATTCGCCATGATCAAATCTTTCGATTAATGCAAGCTTTTGTTTTAATGTTAAAGCAATTTTCTTGTGGTTAGTACTTATAGCATGTTCTTTAGTCGTTGTTAGTTCCAAAATTTGAAATCAGTATTTAAAAGGATGAAAAGAAAATATGCAAGAAAACGCGTTCGAAACTAAAATATCTCGGTAATCAATCGAGACGATGCCATCGACTATGCTCACGCAGTACGAATTATACGAAATAATCGTTGAAACTAAACCTAAACATGCAACTCAGCAGTTTTTAGAGCATGCTCAGACTTGCAGATGTTTAGTTTTACATACTCTCGCGCACAGTGTTCAGTGTGCGGGCGTGGGCAGTGGCACGCACGAATAATCCGTAAGCTGGATAATCGAGAGTACGTAGTACTTTTTAATATAAAACTATAATTATATATTTAAATTATATATATTTAAATTTATTTAATATTTTAATATATTCTTTTCCTGCACGAAAAAGTTCATGGAGAAAAAATTTTGAAAGTCTTTGTTCAGAAGGTGACTGATCTAGAAATATTTCAGGAATAAAAACATAATACTATAACAGAGATATATGAATTGAATTTATGTTTTATTTATTATGATCAAGACTAAGTACTTGTAAATAAACAATTTATGGCAAATGACTCTCACTGAAGGATTAGCTTAGCTAATCATGTTACCTTGACTGTTCAGTAGGGTGTATGCTCACTCAAGACTGACAAAACACACTCACAGCGATGTCACATGGACGGAATCAAGATTGTCTAGCAGTTCTTGTAGGTAGAATCCTGTGCTACTCTTGGCCAAGGACAACTTCCAACTTTCTAGAGGCATTAGACGGCTTGCCTGACGACTTCCCAGTACATCCCAAATTCGTTCAATTAGTTTCGGGTCTAAAGAACGTGAAATCCAATCCATGCGTTCAACTCTTACCTCTTGAAACATTTGTTGACGAGATGCGCATACTAGGCCTTGGATTATCGTCTATGAAAAAAATGTTCCCAACTCCCCAGGCATAGGATACCACTACAGCGTGCAGAATCTAATCTCAGTATCTAACAGCAATCTGTGATCAATTTCTGATAGAGGTCTGTACAACCACCAGTGCTGATACCAGCTCACACGATGATTTCCCCACCAAAGAAGTCCTTTTTTTTCCTTGGAAAGAAAGGGACTTTCAAGAAAGTTTTTCTTGAAAACAGATTCTCTCCTGTTCCTCGTTTATGCCAGTTCAGGAAACGGTAATTGTCTGATTGCAGTCCTGTCAAAGAAGAAGATAAGGGTGTTACGATATAACAGAATACTTACCATTGGTTGCCAGGCTTACATTTCAACACGATGAAGCCAATTTCATATGTTTTAGGTGCGCATCCGTCATCTAGTAGCAACATGCCCTTTGACACATCAAATTAAACTTTGACTATCAGCATTTCTTACCACACATTGCAGGTGCTCTGTGTGAGATCCTTTTGCCATGTCTCAAAAGGATCTTACACAGAGCCTTACATTAATGCGTTTTATTTTCGGTGGCGAATGTATGTTAAAGCTATAACTGAGTGCTTACGGTTTCGTAATAGATTAAATGCACACAGGTCCGATAATAGATTGATAAAATTTATTTTATCAAAAGAAATACTTTGGAGTTCTCTACCTTTCCACAGAAATAAACGTACAGGTGTTCACAGTATCACAGAATACAATCAGAAGTTACACTTCAAACTGCTATGAAAGTTAAACACAATGCAAGCAAAGCGTATCTAAAAGCGAAGCTTTCAATACTCCGAAGTCGTTCTAAACTAACACCTCACAGCAACAGCTGAGGGCAGAGGCTCTCTTCGGCCTTAGTTTTTACCTGGCCGCCAAGATATTTCTAGTACTTTCTACTTCTCGAAATTATTGGAAAGCATGTGAGTGCCGAATACAGTTACAGTTTCACAAAACATCAATTACAATACTTACTATCAATTATAATTACGGTGCTACAGGAACCGGACAAACGGCCGCCAAGTTAGGCGACATTTGCGATTTCTCGTCAAATTTGGCTTCAAAAATTAGTTCCTCAAACCGTTTCCAGCGTGGCGATATCTCGCCAAATTACCGAGATGGCCATTTGCTCATTGACTTGTCCCTGTATTCTTAATTTTCCGGTAACCTTTGCTCCTTTAGATTTTCATGTTACATTATAAGGAAAAGGAATACAACAATTTCACATGTAATTTCACTAAATATATCTATCTATGTACAAAATTCGTAACAGTATTCTTTTCATACGGGGACATTAAAAATCCACATTATCGATACCATTGTGTTAGATACAGAGGACGCGTCTTCACGTTTGGCCACGGCTATTTTGATGACATTAAACGATGAGAAAAAACATCCATGAAAATAGCAACGGAACTTTACAATTTTAATATAAATACGACAAGAAACATATAAAGAAATACTTTCCACAGGTTTTTAACTAGGAAAATGCAATATTGTGTTTATGAACTGTTCATAACATTTCTGAAAATTATTACATCGCTGTTTTATCCCTAATCTTAATACTCGGATGGCATCCCTCATTCACTGGAAGAGAACAAACTCGTAAATGTAAAATTTTAAATTAAGCGAAAAAAGTAATTTCAGTATGGAGTAGACTTTTTTTTTTTTTTTTTTTTTTTTTTTTTTTGTTTGTTTGTTTGTTTGCAGAAGAAAAAATCTGAGTAGAGAGGGCCTCTGTCTGATTTGCTTTTTTGCCTAATTTTAAATAATTGACTATAATCGAAAACAAACTGTTTGGCGATATAATCTCATATCTGGCGACATTTAGCAATTTTTATAACCTAAAACCTTCTTTTATAACCTTAATATGATCAGATGAACAATTCGGTTAATAAGATCATATTAATCGAATTAATGAATAAGCAAAGTTTTCCCTGTTTTCCTGTACAAACAATTCGATAGCAATATCCGAATGATAACATTAACCGCAATTACACTAAGCAGCATCTACAGCACTTTCAGCGTCTGGATCCTGGTGAGCTACGAATTCGATATCTGTCTTTTGACAAAAGCATCATATTTAGAGCTTCTGTAATGTATGAAAAAAAATTGATTAGTCAAAATTTAATTTGATGTATCACAGGTAAATTACATAATTGACCATAAAAATTTGTAAAAAGACGGTACTTTTTTACTTACCATATACATTAAGAACTTTGAAACTAGAAGATGCACAATTTTTATTTTTAACCGCGTAATTTTCTGCAGTTATCATTAAGATGCACATTTAAATATAACTGTTCTCTGAATTATGTACCTCCCTTTTTAAATATTTCCTCTATCACAGATTGTAATGTTAACATTTGCAGCTTTTTTTATATCTTATAAAATTCTTTTTCAGAAATCTCTAGAATTATCAGCAGTTTTAATGCAGGATTCTGCTCTTCAAAATCATAAGAATTTGGCAAAAGTTAGGTAAGAAAATTTCTAAAATCTTTCATCAGATTTTTTTGTGGTTATAATAAAATTTAACCATTTGCTGCAAAAACATTTTGATTGTTGTTGAGAGTTGAAAACAATATTTAAGTCCATCCTGAAATTTTCTTAGCATTTTATTGCTATTTTAAATTAATATTATACTGCTCCGTGTGCGTTTACATGAACAAGTGAACACATTTTTGAAATATACGCTTACATGCATATTACTTTTTCTAGTTAGCCACTGTTAGTGTTGTAAATCAGTTTGTTTCACTTTTTCTACTTAATTACAGCAGTACTTAGATTTATTTAAACATGCATTCTTAATCTGAATTATAACTGACAGTTTTTCCATAGAAAGTACACTCTGTGGACTGTGATTTTGCCGTACGCGCAAGGTATTAATAACATAACCCATCTACAGTGGCTGCTAACAGCCTCACTCTTAAAATCAAGAACTGTGTTCTTATATACGTTAACTAATTTACATCCTGGTGAGGACCGGCGGAACCAGAATTGATTGTAAAAGGATAAGTGGTTAAGAAACATAAAGCCTCGCAGTATCGTGAAGCGTTCTCCTTTAAGCATACTTTATTGAATATGTATTAAAAATACAAATGTAATATCAGTCAAGTAAAATGAAAATCAAACTTTTGTAGTTGCTTTGTAAAATAATCGTGTATTGTTCAGTGTACTTATTGTGTTTTATTTACTTAAGATTAGAAAAAATCGTCGACAGAGGAAAAGAAAATGAAAGAGTGTACATAAATTTAGGTCTTGTTGCCGTGGATAACAAGAATTTCGCCAGTGCTGAGAAATGGTTTAGAAAAGCTCTCCAGGTTTGTAAAATGTTTTATTTTTCATGCCGGTGTTTTTAGACGAACTTTCAAATAGAATTTCCATACATTTTCTGCGATTTACGGTTTATATTTGCGTTGACAAAAATGCATGCACCACTAAAAAGTTCTAAATGTAATAATGCTGTTAATACGTTTGCTGACGTAGTTAACAAACTGCGTTTACTTGCCAGCTACGAGATAACCCGTTATTGATCACTTACCTAAATAATTGACTATTGCCGTAATAAATGCATGCAAAGGTTACTTGTTAACCTGCAGGATGAAATGCATAATTTATTTCTCAAGACGTAGATACAGTTAATTATTTAAGATTATTGACTTAGAGGATAATTTACTTGAAATGTTGATACAATTATTATTTGTAATTATTCATTTGGAAAATCTTATAAATGGTAAGTTCTTGTTCAATGATTCGTGTTTTGCGTGAATGCACAGAACGGGTGAGTATTGTTTACTTAATTCTGAGTTATTTCGGAGTTGGCACAGGGAGCAAAGATATCATATTATGAATATACTCGTATATATGAATTTATTTACTGTTAAACCTAATCTGTCATATCTGTAACTAAATAATAAGACAACAGGAAATAATTTAAAAGCACAAAAACGCCGATAGGATCTTGGCGCGCGAGAACGAACTCAGCACTTCAACTTTTGCAGTGAACGTGTTAAATATTGTTCTTATTATTATACAATAAACACTCCATTTTTACGAATCTCCAATTTACAAAAAAAAAATTATTATTATGAAATACCGCTCCTAGAATTATTATGAAATACCGCTCCTAGAATATTCTTTATTTATGCCAATTCGATTAGAGAACTTTAGAATTTCTTTACAGCGTACACACATTTATAAAATCTAAACATCACTGTATTTATTTTAACACATTTTTAAAAATTTTTTACGTCAGTTTTAGGATGGGTTGTACATTATTAATGACTTTTTTGTTTTTTATTATATAAATATTATTTGTTTTCCATACAGAAAGAAGCATTATTTTTGTTATCGACACACAAACGACGAACACACTACGAAAAACATAAAATTATTTTTAAACGTAAATATATTAAGATTTTACTTACTAAAATTTGTTGCTAAGAATAAGAAAAGAATAAATTGGATTCTTAATGGCGGTTTAACCAATTCTCTATTAATAATTTTTTATAAAACGTCGTTACAAATTTTGTATAATGAAACGTAAAAAGTCTGTTGATAGTGAAGCTCTGCGGGAAAAATAAGATTGCAGTGGCAAGTCTAATTAACATTGAGGTAAATGGCTATCTCGCTAAATTGACGATACATTGTTAAACTGGCGATGGTTGAGGGCGACTAATCGCAAATTTGATGGTTGATGGTTGAGGGTGACTTTCATCGCAAATTTGGCGAATATTTGGCGATATTTTGGTCCGGCCCCTGTCCAACTGTAATTGTTACTCCAATTGAACAACTGTAATTGATACCTATATGTTAACTGCAACTGTATCCGGCTCCCATATGTAACTTTAACCGTATATGCCTTCCAGTAATTTCGGGAAATGGAAGGTACTAGAGATTTCGCGGCGGCTGGAGGACCATAAGTTCTCATTTTTTCAATTTAGAGTAAGACTTTGGAGTACTGAGAGATCTCCGTACGAGCTTCACTCTGTAGCGTTGTGTTTAACTTTCTCAGTAGTCTGAAGTGGTAACTTAGTAGTTTGAAGTTTTAATTACGAATTTTCGCACTAAGAATAATCTCTTTATTCGGAATATATTTATATGTTAACAGCTTCTTTTTTTCACAGATGAAAATTAATACGAAAAATATTCGATTGACCGATGAACATTTATAATCCGTGATGAAGATAATTTCTAGTAATTTCTTTCCAGGGTTACAAATTTTATCAAAATCGAAATGCCATCAGTTGTCAGGTTGTAGTAAGGTATACAAGAACTATTTGCATGCTAACTTATGTATTTTTATTTATGCGTCCAAGAATAATTTAATAAACAAGAGAAAGAGGTTAAGCTGTCATTATTTATTCTCAAGTTTTGTAATATTTGGAAAATTTTCTTTGAAACGTTATAAAATTTTTCATAATCTTTTCAGTTTAAATTAAAGTAAGTTATTTAATGGTTAATTAAACATGTTAGAACCATTTTAAATAAACGCTTATCTGAAAATTTAATATTTAGCTATTTGAATTACAAAGTGTATCCACAAAAATGTCTTGTCGGTACCAAATTTAAATTTCAGACCGGAAATAAATATAAGTCTATTTTTTTTCCTTTACGATATTATTATTATAGTTTGAAAAATATTTACTTAGCGAAATGTAAAGTTTATTTGCAATGTTTAAATTTTTTTAATTCTGTTAAAAACATTTTGGCCCGTCAGCTCTTTTCAGATGGTGCACGCCGCCCGCAAGCAGTGTAATTTTGAGACCAATGTATTAACCGATCCTTCAAAGCAAATTCAGAATGACGTCAAATATAGCGAATTTCGAAATTAACTACTACGTTACTTAATTTTAAAATATAAAAGCATGAATCTGTGTTATTTAAAACATTTTTTTTAATTATAGATGTCTATAACCAGCGATTGAGAGAATAAAGGCCGAATTAAGAATTTCATGGGCATGGTGGAATTTCATTCATGGCAATTATATTGTCTCAAGTTAGAGAATTATGAATGCATTTTGAAATATTTTTAAGAGTTAAGCATGTGATAATTATAAAATGCTTTTCTGTATTCTTTAAATCTTTATAAAAACTGAATATAATTAAACAGCTACTTATAATAGTAACCTAATGATTTTTGAACCTAACGAGCTATTTTTTGTGGAATATTCCGTTTTATAAAAGGAAAACAAGAAGTATCCAAAACTCTATATTTTCTCAAAACCATTAACCATACCTTCTAACCCATCCTATTAATAACGCAAACACTTTGCTTTTCTGTTTATCAAAAATTACTTCCTTGCCTAAGCTCTAACATTTTTTAAAATGTAATTAATATGGACGCTTCTTCATTAGTGACAAAATTCAGCAAAATGAAGAACGATAAAAGCTGAAATAAAAACTAACTTAACAAATGTAGAGAGAACTTATTATTAACATAGTATTGATTTAAGACGATCAACTATTTTGCCAATAATTAATCGAAGTTTATCGAAAGCTTTTACGAAGCATCATCTTTCCATAATACCTAAAATTCCAGTAATGATTTTGTGTCACATTTTAATGGAAAATGTATCCTAAGAATGAAAGAACTTTACTGGATTTAAACTCATTATTTTTACTATTTTGTATCCAGGAATAAATAATGTTTGAAACTGCATAACGCGTAGAAGACTAAAAGTTACTTTCTTATCAATATTAAGCTTATTTATGCAGATATAGTCTACGAGGTACTTTTCTGTTAATAAAGAGACACTTAGCGCAACATCTAACTACGTGGCGGCAAGCCTAACAATGCATCAGGCTTCGTGAAAAAAATGAACATGTAATAATAATAATGTATATATATATGTTTAATGTACCCAATGCCAAATTTTCTAAACAATTTTTTTAATTTTGTTTATTTTTTTAGCAAGAATAGATAGCTTTGTACATGAGAAGAGCTCTATCCTTGTATGGCGCTGTATACAGGGACAGAATATTAAACATTGCTCAGCTATTTACTACTACATTTGACGCTTTGGCACGCATTTGGTGATATTGGTACCCTTTTAACAGAAAAGTACATTTAAGATTATCTCGCTTATAAAAAATCAAAGGTTTGCTACCTTGCTGCCATCTAGACTATATATATATAAGTAGAAAGACAACATGAATTAGAGAGACCTTAGTGGTCAACAATTTTACTGCTGCAATTGAGCTGCAAAATTTTTAAAATTTGTTTTAAGGAAGAGAAATTAAAAGCTAATGCTAAAAAATACATTTCACACTATAGTTCCTTAGCAAAAATGTAAAATCATGTAACAACAACAAACGATACTAAAGTAGTAAAAACAAAATGTAAAAATTACAAATCGAGATAACTCAAAAAGGGGAGAAAAAAATCAAAAAAGGGGAGAAAAAATTAAGAAATTTTAACGCACAAAATATTTTAAAAGGACTCTAGTAAAAAAATAAATACATTTGAAATACACAGTAAATATGTACAAAAAATTGAACAAATGGCAAATTAGCTCAACCCGAGGTTTGAGCCGGATTTATCAAGGGAAAAATCACTCAAAACTCGATTTAAGCTAATACCTTTATCGAGTTTCGTCAAACGATAATAATTGAGACTATAAAAGCAATTTCATTAATAGAATAATCCAATTTAATAAAAAAAAAAAGAAGTAAGTGTCAATTATATCGCTTCATTTCCTGACGCGCTTAAAACTTGCTATTAAACAAGAAAAAGCTATACAGGAAACCCTGGTTAGGCAAATTTACAATTAAAATAAATAGCTAAAAAGCTATTAGTCCAAAAATTACACAGTTTTAAGGGAGACACCTCCTAGCCGGAAAAATATAAAAATTTTTGAAGCAGAAGAATTAAAAGAAACATAATAAAAGCGTATCGAAATGGGTCTTGCAAAGACCAAAGAAAATACAAAAAAGTCGAAACATACTTGCATCCAAAGCGGTGGCCTCAACTTAAAATGATCAAAATTGCTGCAAAGGGTTGCCGTAAATAGAAGAATTCAAAAGAAGTGCTACCAGAAAAGTAAAGTAGTTAAATTTCTCCAATACGGTGAAGCTTCGTAGAATGGAGAAACAAACGTAAAGAAGTAAAATGGTAGGCAACGGCTAAAGGGGGAAAAACTTGTATTCTTAAATGGGGGTTTTAGAAGGTGAATGATGTTGGCTATTTTAACAAAATGGCGTCTTGTTCAAAACTATATATATATCCAGTGTTCAAAACTATATATAAAACTATATATATATAACTATATATATATACAGTGCATCACAAAAATGTTATTTAGTTAGCTGTCGCGAAAATATTTTTGAGAACAGTAGCTATTAGGTACATTCTGCACGCAAAAAAATGGGACTGTTCTGTTATCTCATATTCTATTGGGCCAACTGATGAAATTTTTCATGCCTTGAAAGCCCAACTTAAGATATATATATATATAACATCGTCCTAACATAGGTATTTTAACAGAAAATCGGACTTTCCTGAAACGACGTGCTTATTTTATTTTTCATATTTCGATTCTACATCCCATATTACGGCAGAATACTACGTAAGTTTTGCGAAAATCGCACGAGTGTTTTTAAAAAGTTAGTTCTCAAACGTTTAGCTCTTTCATGTTAATTGAATTGGGAACACATTTAATATCTCTTTTCTTATTAAACTTACTTGATTCATTCTTTCGCAATTCGAAATTTAGATTCAATCCAAATAAAACTAGCAGATATTTTCTGATTTGTTTTTACAGTTTATACTTTTTAGTAAATTTTATAAATTTTTCGATTATAACCTATAAAATATATACAATTGTCACCTTAAAGTAGATGTATTTCTAAGCATATCTTCAAAACGTTAGAGACTTTTTAACTCAAAATTTTCCAAGATATACGTGAATTCTTATATTATAGAGTCATGAAATGGGCATTTTGTTATAAGAGATGCCAAATATTGTTTTCGCACTTTGTTAAAATTATTTGAACGAATGAACGACATAGTTTTATCTTTCTATTCATGCACAACGAAATACGAAAGAAAATAAATTACCATAAATTGAGAATTTCGCCAAGTGAATTATTATTGGCCTAAACTGAAGGTGCTGCAAGATAATTTTTTTAATTTCTCGGTAAATTTCTCACCAAATTTTAGAAAATTTAATATCTAGGGATAATTTGAGTCGTAGAATCGAAATATGAAAACCAGTTTGTAGATTGTTTCAGAAAAAGTCCGATTTTATGTCAAAAATACCTATGCTGAAAGAATGCTATATATAAATCTACTATATATCCTGTGGCGCTTTTGAGACATAAAAAACACAATTTAAGTTTAGTCAATCGGCCCGGTAGAACGGGAGATATAGGACTGTCCCCTTTTTTATATGTGCAGAGTGTACATATTCACTGAAATTATTTCTATTCTAGTAGTGTTTAAATTTTGTTACACAACATGATAATTAGTGTGCAAACAAAAGGAAAAAACAGAATTTTTATTTTTGATAAATGTAAAATCTAATAAACATCGTAAAATAGTTCAAAATTTTGCTATGAAAGAAAAATTTTTTAAATGTTCAGAACTTTATGATAGCATATACTGGATCACAAAGTATTCTTTTGAAAGAAAGGCCCTTCAAATAAATAAAATAAAATTTTCCAAACAATTATATTAAATATACATTTAAAGTACACAATTTGAATGAATAAAAAGTAATTTTAAAAATAATTCTTTGAAAAAGTATAATTAAAGCAGGCAATTTAAGAAATTAAAATAAAATTCTAATCGAAAAAAATATCTATACTATGATCAAATCTGTGCGCGTCTGTTTGTGGCATTGCCTCTTCCGAAACGGCGTCGAGTTGAACTTTGAAAAAGGTGCCCCCCGGATTCCAAAAATTTCTGGAAAGACATTTCCACTATTCTCATCTTCGTAAGACTTTAATTAGATGAGATGTTAATTAAAAACTCTTAAAACACTAATTTTCACACTCATTTTTTCGAGTGGCAGCACTCATGTTTCCGAATATTTCGCGTTGGAAATAAAAATACTTTATTCCGAAAAGTGTTTCTACTGCTCGCTTTCAAGTCGTAGAATTTGATAATAAAGAATTTGTAATTTTTATAAAATATGAAATAAAAATAGCATTGCCAAATATTAAAGGTGTTATTATTATATAAGGTCACATTCTGACGGTAAAGAAAGCCCGCGACTGCATGCGACATCACTGTATATCGAAAATTGTTCGTTAATGTCAGCATTTTAATAGCTGCTGTTGGAAACTTTTTTGTTTCAGTTTAATATAACTGGCACGATATATTATTGCCATATTAATTCTTTTATGAATATTGAAGAAATGTTATATTGCATTAAATTTAAATCATGAATATACGTTTTTAATGGTCATACGTTTTTAATCTGAAGTGTCAAAACGTTTTGTTTCTTGGTTCGGCAATAAAAACATTTTTTACGAATTGGTTGTTCCTGTAAAAAATGAACTAATTTCTTTCATATTTAAAACGTGTTAATACATTTCATTTTCAGGGATACGTAGAACTTACAAATTGTGCTTTGGCTGCAGCCCGCTAGTCTAAGAATAACAGTTGTGCTGAAAAATATGATTCAAAGTAAAAATATATGCAAGAAAGAAGAAATGATATTTTTTTCCATTCTCGTGCAGCATGAAAGGGAAAATGAAATAGGTTGCCATAAACAGAAAGGTTCTTCACCGAGTGATTTTTTGTGGTCAGAAAATAAAATAAACCAAACTAAAGTTTCGAATTTTTCATTAAATTTCTCATCGAAACTTACAAAATTTATTATTGAAGCATAATTTGAATCTTAGAAATCAAATATGGATAAAACCTTGTCGTGACATTTAAGAAAAAGACCTATTTACTGTCAAAATAAGTGTGTCAGAACAATATAGTATATAAATTCGGCATTGCGAACATTAAACGCTATATGTATTATGTATGTTGGAATGTATAGATATGTTAGAACAATGTTATATATAATATTGTAATAAATCTATAACATATCCTAAGTCACGCCTTCGAGACATGAAAAACGCAAGCTGAATTTCCTCAATAGGTCCACTAGCAGCCGAGCGGTAAAAGCCGCTGAACACTGGTAGTTCGGTCCAGGTTTCGAGTCCCGGCGAACAGGTTGGCTGCGTGGCCGTTGTCCTGTTTTCCCCATACGTAACGTGGATACGAGTGAGTTTCCCTTAAAAAAGGACCTCCACGGGACATCTCTCCCTTTCCGTATAGTGCCTAAGGGCGGAGCACGGATAAAAAAAAAATTATCAACCGGCCGAGTGCAATGGGAGATGCATAACTGTCCTTCGCCCTGTTTTTTTGGGGGGAGGGGGACTTGGTGTTCATATGTATTAGAATAAAGTAATACGATTATTAGTGTAGAAATAGGAGGGAAAAAAATTCGTTTTCAATGAATATTAAAGCTTTTCCAATGAAATCAGTCTTCTTCTATATTAATTTCGTTTTCCCTCCAACCTTCTTTCAGAAAGTTCCAGTATCCCGGGAAGCATTGTTCAACCTTGCTTTATTGTTATCCGAGCAACAGAGACAAACTGAAGCAATCTTTACCCTCAATCAACTGCTTCAAGTAATCAGTTTTTTTTATTTTTAATTTTTCTTTATTTTTTGATTCATGAATGTTATTTGTGGAAAGCATTGTGTTTTAATCTTATCTGATGTCTTTTCATCTGTTTATTTTGAAAGATACTGAAGGAGCAATATTTTCATTTGGTTTTTAGGTTACCTAATCATTAAACAGATCTTTCCTTCAACTGACGTTCTACTCGATCATTATGTGTTTTGATTAAAATGTCCAGAAACCCATATATAATTACATCTCTCATCTGTAGTATATATTCGGGAAATTACTGCAATGACTGACACACTTTTCATAATAATCTGATTGATGTTTTTAGTTACGTACAAATACAAATATTTCGCTGTTTAATTTGTTTAGGGTCCCTGAATATAATCTTCAGCTTTAAAATGAAATATCTCGGTCGGTATTTATTGATGGGAGTCACATTTTTATGTTTTATTTTGTATAATGAACATAATTGCTATATATAATGATTATAATTATCCTAGATTTTTTAATGATAATAATATCTACCTAAATATAAGCATAGAGCCGTGTACAAAAAGTTAAAACTTCGTAATTTTTATATAATTGAAATTTTGTTTAAAAATTCGAAAACAGGAATACTTGTATCGTTTAGAAAATTTTTGTCATTGAAAGTATAAATGTGTCTTTATATTGAAAGTATATGTAACTGTAACTATTTGTCATTTTTGTAACTGTAACTATTTGTTATTTTTGTAACTGTAACTACAAGTCATTTGCAGAAATGAGGGCCTGATAAGGACTTTTTTGGACATACTGGCATTAAAAGATAAATTCGTACAACTGGAAATCTGTCGTCTGCATTAAGAAACTGTTCTTCTCTCAATTAATAACGTTTCAATAATAAGGATTTGAATTTTTTTTCCAAATTCATTCAAAAAGCGATTTTTATTTCTTAGAACTATGAATTATGGAAAAAATAGACCCGATTCTTCCTCCTGTAAATGCAGAAAAAACGTGGTCTAGAAATCTAAATATTTGGTGCAAATTATGGTATAGTTTTGTAATTTTAAAAGCGTCCTTTCTTTTGCGAAGCAGAATTACATTTTTTATCGCTATTGAAGAATAAACATATATATAGCATGTCTTGACTAAATTCGAAATTAGAAATGTAATTTAATGTTTGATTCTTTGAAATATACCAATTTGTAGCAATACAAACAGTTATGTAACTGAGTATTAATAATCTTATATGCGGAGAGGTGAATTTGTGTGCCGTCAGCACAACGTCAAAGCGAAACTCATTTTGCCTTCTTTCCTTCTGCAATATGAAAGCATAGACAATTTTTTCTCTTTCTCTGAAAAAAAGTGAGTGTTCGTTGTTTAGCGCTGTCTCTGAAACTATTACCACGGTTTAGTTTAAACAAATGCGAGTTTTCTGCTCTGACATTTAGTTTAATTAAAGTTTATTACAATGCTTTTTCCCAAAACATTGCATACAGTGAAGTTTTTGATTCATTTCATGAGTTGATTTGTTTTTTTAACCGTACTACTCATTGTTGCGCGAAGTTATATCGAGTTTAAACGAAAGTTTCCGGCTACCGCTAAAATCGTCAGCGTAAACAGTTCACGTTGGCTTGTTTAATCATAATTTGTCAAACGATTTTTGACATTTGAAAGAAAGAGACTTGCTTTATAGCGCAGTATTGTGAGATTTGTAAAACAATATCGTAATCATTAAGTATAATGTGTCAGAAATGGAACTATCACGCTACAAGATTAGAACCATCATTTACTTCCAGTTCTGTTGCAAAGCGTCGGCTACAGAATGTCACCAAATGATGTGTATAGCTTTAAGTACTAATTTTGCATTATATCACATTGTAAAGGTTTAGTACCGATAGTTGAAAAGAAAAACCATAATATTCAAGAAGCAGAGCACTCTGGCCGGCCTGCTGATGTTGATGAAACCCGCCTGCGAGAACTTGTGGAAGAAGATTTCAGTATGCAACCACTCGAGAACTTGCTAAGGAATTAGATGTTAGTGCCGTGTCCATTAGTCGGGGTATGCATTGCATAAACATAACGTACAAGTTCAATCGCTGGGTGCCGCATAAACTGACTCGAGCAGATGAGGACAGACGTTTTCGGGCCTGCACTAATCTGCTCAAATATCAACTCAAAGACAAATTTCTGGACCGGATCATTACTTATGATGAAAATTGGATTAATTTCAACAACACAGGCCGAAAAGGGGGTTGGTCTGTGCCCGACGAACCCGTCGGCTGCGTCGCAAAGCGCAATTTGTCTGACAAAAAGATCATGCTTTGTATCTGGTGAGATTGCCATAGTGTTATCCACGAAAAGTATCTGGGAAACGGTAATATCCTCGACAGTAAGGTGTACAGCGAGATGTTAGTCCGTGTTGACGCTGCTATCAAGGAAAATCGTCGAACTGAGTTTTGGCGCAAAAAGGTAATATTCCATCAAGATAATGCAAGATCACATGTGTCTGCATTCACTTGCTGGACTTGGCACGGACTCCAATGAGATCTTTTGCCACGCCCACCATATAGATCCGAAATCGCTCCTTCGGACTTCTACCTCTTTTTCTCACTTGCAGCTACAGCTTACTGGTGCTATCTTCCATTCTGCACAGGATGTCCGAAATAAGTTGATTTGTTTTTGGACTCATGGACACCAAGTTTTTGGGCCGAAGGCTTTGAAAAACTACTAAAACATTGGCAGAAAATGGTAGATTTGAGTTGTGATTGCTCCCGCACTAAAGGTACTGTTTTCATGGGGGTTTTTTTCTAACTTTATTAAGAACGTTTTTTGGCGGAAAACTTTATTTGAAACTAGATATTTTAATTGATCCATTTTCGTTTAATCTTTTTTTAATATTACTTATTTCTTATTTAATCTTCGTTTGATCTTTTTACTAACTCCCAAAATGTATATATGACTTTAAAGTTTTATTTATTCTCAACTATTTAATTCTCCCATTCTCATTGCGTTCGCTTATTCGATTCATTAGATAATCGGCGGTTTGCTAATTTAAAAGGAACAAGAATGTGTGTTAATTCAGTTAGTGTTTATATTTTTTTTTGTTTGTGAATCTTTCAAAATTTTTAAATTCTTTCGAAACTGCCTGTTGTTTTCTGCTCTGTTATTGTATGATTCTACAAAATGATTAAAATAAACAAAATTTTATTGATGATTTAAAATGAAAACGTCTCTTTTGAAAAGTGTGGACTTTCTAATTTTATGATAACCGCAGTTGTATTATTTTAGAGACAATTCAGTATTATAACTTTATGTATTGCAATCCAAAACAAACTGGATTGCAGTCCTCAAACGGTGGCGATACTTGCGCACATGGCAATTTCGCACAAGTGGCATTTGCACATATCGCGACTAAAGGAAAATGAAATTTTACAACAGGTATAACCAGTTATGGACAGCAAGTGACACTTCCGCATAGTCTATCAGAAACAATCATAAGGCGAGTTAGAATAATAATAGCCTTATTATTTATTGACATTATTTTTCTTAAGTAGTATTCATTCTTGCTTTGACGGTCGTTCTGAATGTTTCTTGTGTATTATTCGTTTTCTACCTTATTCTTTTCAGATCATTTACTTAAACTGAATTTCATTCGTATTGAAACATTTAAAAGTAAACTATACGCAACGTATAACCACTATCGATATCGGTAGTATCCTCTTAATACAAATTCTAATGTGACAACATAGAGATATACTAAAAGCAAAACTGAAAGATGCTGCAAAAAGTGGATGAAGACTCAACATGACGTAATATTGAATGTTACAGAATATATCTGTAAGTCTGATATGACAGAAGCAGAAGTTAAAGTTCAGTTGTCGAATCATTCAAACGAGCAGGAAAAGAAGGGACCCGAAAATATATACAACTTTTCGCCCATAAAGTAACCGCCCAATTTCTTATGAAAAAAAAATTACTAACATTCAAATAAATTTGCCACAGGAGTTTATACAGTTTTTCAACGTTTCTTCAGGTCATCGAAACACTGTTTATAGGCGTTGAAACAAATAGCAAAATACGCGTAACATTTAATCTAATATCCGAAACGTTTTCAAATATCTGTCCATTCAAAGATATCTTAAGCTTCGTAAGAAGGAAAAATTCAGCTGGCGATAAATCGGAAGAATATGGTGGTTGATTTATCACTACAACTGAATGCTTAGCAATATAAACAATTCTGTATGGAACCTAGCATTAAGGTGTAAAAGAAACCTTTGGCCCAGAATCAAAATGTGTAGAGTCATTAGGCTTTCTTTGATGCTGGAGACGTAAAAAATGTGCAATGCCCTTACCAGGACATCCGTTATTTTTCTGTATGGCAGAAAACGATCCCTTTTACTCTGCACTTTGTTTCTGGATCGTATTGTAGACACCAGGTCTCATATCCCATTATGATACACTTAAAGAAATTGTTGTCCTGTCTATCAGTAGTCAGCAAATCTGTCGCAGCAACCTTCTTTGTCTTCTTTTGCGGTTTTATCAAAATCCGAGACACAAATTAAGTTATACAAACTTTCCATATATTCAGATTTCCAATTAAAATTAACCTCCAGCTTTCTTTGCTTATCCCAAGAATGTCTGAAAGTTGCTAAGTTGTTACACGTCTATCAGCTTTTATCAAAGAGCGAATGTTTACATTTTTAGAGCTGTTTGAAGTTGAAAGGTAGAATTGGTTATACCAATTATACACTTGTGTTCTTGAAAACGATGCATTATTATATACTGTTCGAATCATCTATAACATTTCAGAAGCAAATTTACCTAATTGTTTACAAAAAATTGAATGTTGCTCCATTTCGAAGCAAAGTTGTTTGTACAAAGTCTTTCAGTAAATGAAAATGACTCTGGCGTTTCGATATGCAAACGGCAAAACAGAGCTAGTTTAAACTAAGCTAGCTTTAGTAAGAGTTGATAAATCACTCTTTCTAAACATTCATTTATTCTTTTACTATTTTATTTTATTCTTTGGTCTTTTAATTTGTCCCTTTATTTTCATATTACACTTTGCATTCATAAATATATTATTGAAATATATAGTTATACATACTTACAAATTTTATTTATAAGTATATTTTTATATTTTTGAAGAAAATAATATCATTTACAGGATTTGAAGGTAATTATATCTTTAAAATTAAAATTTCCCTTAACTATAATTATCCTGTTTGCTTTCACGATTTCTCCGAAACCATCTAGTCAGAATTTAAAAAAACGGAACAATTGTGTACATCTTAGATGAGTTAAAAGGAGCAACTACTATGTCCCCCGCCTAAAATTTTAGAAATTATCTTTAATTATGTTAAAAAATAATTCCTTACGAAAGTAAAAAGTGTTATTTTTTTAAAGGAAATACAATTATATTTTTTAACATAGATCATTTTAATTCTACTCACTTTTTCTCTTTTGAAAATAAAAATCATAAGAAAATACTGATTTGTTTTCACAATGCTGCGCGCAGTACATATAGTAGTATTAAGTGGAAGACAAAAAAGGTATTTTATTTCAAATGTTTTAATATATGAGATATAAAATAAAACTACAAAATATATTTCTAAGGATATCAAAATAAACACACAAAATTTCACGTTCATAAACCAGTTTTAAAATGTGTTGCATTTGGGGATATTTTAATGTTTTGAAAGTATTAAGTATTTATTATTCTTTACACGTAAACTCGTGCATAATGAAAACATTTTATTAACATGTATATTTGTGCAGTCCAGTAATTTAAAGTTTTGTAAAGCAAAGTCATATCCAAGACGCGGTTCCAAGTTATCGAAAGATAATCCAGAAACTTTGTTTTTGCTAGAAATGCTAGTAAATTATACAAACTACCATTAGCCATCTAACAATGAATATTTCATGTTTTCTAGTTTTTAAAAGTATTTTCAGCTTCTAGAATCTAAAAATCATTTTCGAAGTAAAATGCAATGTTACTGACATTAACATTGCATTTTACTTCGAAAACGAATAACAAAGCCCCAGAATTTCTCCAGAAAACCACTCTGCTTTAGAAAAATAAATTAATAAAATCCATTGCTTTTAAGTGGTACTTTAAATCTTGAAGTCAATGCATCAATCAGTTCATTAAAACCAATTACTGTATTCTTATTTCAGCATTATCCGGGACATATTAATGGCCTATTGCTACTGGCGGATATCAACGTCAATTACCTGAAGAATCTGGATGCAGCAGAAGAGGTAATTGAGTCATTTAAAATAGATTGCCTTTTCCTTCTTTCCAAACAGAGAGGCTGTAGCTGGCTTTCTCGTGTTTATGACGCTTTCGAGGATCTTAATTATGCGGAACAGATGGCTTATACTACCTTCAATAAATGTGTTTAGGAGAAATGTCCTAAGTAATATAATTAACTGCTCTATGTTATTTTAGAGCACTCTTTTTCCTACAAATACGTGAAATGAATCCATAGTCATATCCTAATAGTTGTGTTTAAATTATTATCAGCGGTGAGGTGGATCTATAAATTTTTATGAAATCTTCTCCGATTGTAGATTAATTCGGAAGAGGAAAAATCAGCAATGCTTTCGCCGGGATTCAAACTCTGGTCCTCCCGACTGCTAAACATACATGCTCCCTTACAACACGAAGGCACGTGTTACTGAGGAAGAAAATTCCTTCCATTATTGTTTATCTCTTAGTCAATTCAAATGCTCTTAATAGCGATGTAAAGCTATGAATATTGTTTTAAAATTCTTATTTTCTCTTGATGATCCAACTCCAAGGACTGGTTACCGCTCGAATTGGCCTCCGCCTAATTTTATCTTATATTATCTTTCGATAGTTGTTAGCCACGACGAAGTTTAGATGCCAACTCGTCGGAAGATACTAAGGCTATGGTAAGCTGAGTTCTGTTAAACTGACTGCATGTAACTTGGAAACTAATTAATGATGACAAGGACACTTTGATTTACAGCATATTTTAACAATCAGGGAGTAACAAAATTGTAAACAGCCTTGTATGACAAACGCTAACGTGCAGCAAATGTGTAAGCATATGTAGAATATCATCTAAGCATATGGGCAGCTAATAAATAAATAATCAAATTAAAAACACACAAATCACTTCCGAGCTATGTACAAGTTGAATATTTGTAATAATGTGAAACTTCACAATACTGGAGTTTCTCCAAGTAGTGTGGTTTTCTTTGACTGTATGTTTTGGCTATGTAAAAAAAAGATTAGCAGTTACGTTCAAACTATTCTATCAGCTATTCTGGCTACTGAAAAAAGAAGATAAATCAGCAACTAATCAGGAAGCTGAGAAATGCCTGACTTGGGTCACCTTATCAGGGTCAATGTTCCTTTTAACCTTCTTCGGGAACATGCAAGGACCTGACTCGGAACAGAGAGCTTACTAAAGCAATGTTCAAAAGTGTGGGAAGTAAACAGCATACACAAGAAGGGTATACTAAACCCTTTAGTTTTTCTATTTACAATGACTTCCGTACTTCGGAATACACCGACCCGCTACTTGGGGTCAAAACGTAAAAGTATAAAAATAAAACTAAACTCTAATTTAACTTTAGAATAATAAACGTGGAAGATTGGCCTTATATTAACAGGAAGCGTATGTAGTACAGAGAACTGTGAACACTACAATACGTTTAAAATTTATCAAGAGGATTAAAACCTCTGGCCTGGAAGGCAACAAGCAACTGCGTAAGTTCTAAGGTAAGCGGCCTGCTTCGACTCACTGCTTCCTCTCTCTCGCTTGGCAAAAAGCCACAACTTAAATACTTGGCGTTCGCCAGACAAACTTTGCATAAAAACCTTAACGCTTATAATTCTGGCCGGAAGTAGAAAATAAGAAGTGATAGTAAAGATTTAAATTAAAATAAACGTTAGTAAAACTTAAGATCCTTACATACTTCCCGCCAGAGTTAATTAGTTTGAGGTCTAAAACGACCTTGTTGAAAACTTTTAGCTCTAGAATCTAACGCGAGGCCAATCTTTTACAAATATTTTTCGCTAGAAACTAGAAATTTAAAAGAAAGAAATTTGTTTTTACAATAGCAGCTCCCAGGATACACACTTTTTTTCATCTGTACTGCATCTAAACAGGAGCTTTTATTCAATTCTGGTTCCTTCCAGATCTCTGGAAGGAAAACTAGTTTAATGAAATGTTACTCAATGAAATGGCAAGTAATATGTATAATTATATTTTACTTAACATTCTTATTTCATTCATGACTATTTTAATTATCTTTCCCCGTGCTCTCTGACATGTGTTGTAAAAGAACACCAAACACAAATGTGTTTTTCTGTCTACGTGTTCCACACTTCCTCCTACAATCGAAACACTAACGTGTTAAAATTCAACATAACAAGACCTCTTAACACACCCTAATTTCAACTCTAAACCCTGAGGTACTATTCTGAAAGTGTCTAACTCTAAAGTGTAGCGTCAGAGAGCCTAACTACATCATTCAACCTTTAACACATATTCGCCATGCTTTAGTCTTTTTACAGTCACACGAATAAAAAAAATTTAACATTCACTTTTACCATATCACGGTATTTCTTAACATTTAAAATAACAGTTCACATTGTATATAAGAACATATCAACATGCCGTTAATTTTACACATTTGAAAACATACATTAGTAGTACATTGTTAACTTCTATTCTTTTCAAAGCAAGTGCCAATTCTTTCTACATTGAAATACTACATTTCCAAAAGTCTTTCAGACTAAAACTTCTTTCTTGCTAGCATGTTTTAAATAAAATTTATACAATAACTTTTTACAATATTTAAGTTTTTACACAACGCTATTATACATCAACTTTAGTTTTACGCGCGAGTAATTGAAAAACATAATACCAAAATCGGTAACAACTCATTTCTCGCCCTTTTGGCGATAAAGGTAGACCTCGCATGAGGTAAAACTTCTTGAAATCTGCCACTTGCAGTAAGAATGAAAGAATTAACTTAGAGTTTGCAAAGTAACATAAAATTTTACTTATCTTTGTGATATTCGGACATCCGTTTCTGGGCCCAGTCCTTTAAAGGTATTGGCGAAGACTACCGTTGTTTGATTTATCCTCCGTCTTGTACGGGCTCGCCCTTCAGTGCCTTCCTCTGTGAAGCTTTTTTTCCTTTTTTCACCAGTTCGGTCACCCTTGAATACCTTCTTTTTCTCCTCTGCTTGTGGTCTTCCGGCCGTTTGATGGCAGCTGGTCTTGGCGGAACCGGGAACCTTCTTTCGTGTTCCTGCTTGGACCTCGCTGCTGGCCGTTCAAATTTTCCTTGTAACTTTTCCTCCGCCGCTGATGGCCCTTCCGCAGTTCGGCGACATTTGCTGCGGAGAGTACTGTCGGATGAGTAGATCTTCCGTTTTAGAGCCGGGTTATAGTTGCCGTCATTTCTCCTGGTTCTCTTCACATACGTCGTCCTTCTCCCTTCTTCATTCTGGGGGTGTTCGTGAACTCTCTTTTCTGGACGGTGGAACGGCTTCTTTTTCTTGCTACCTTCAATTTTCCCGCGGGGAAATTTTCTTTTCACTTGCTCCTGCCTCTTAATAGCTTGCCCTTGTACTTGTCGTTTTTCCACCTCTGGAGCTTGTGCCTGCGGTGTCTGCCGTGCCGGATCCTGCAAAAGATCTGAAAATATTTGCATTTTATTACGATCGAAGTAGGGTTTGATTTGATCAATGTTTGCGGAGCAGGTTTCCCCATTTCTGGCTTTTAACACTACTACAGCGTGAGTTATTTTTTCTATAACATATGGTCCTTCAAATCTTGGAAAAAATTTGGCAGTCTTATTTTCTGGTGCTGAAGAAAGTGAATGCTTAATTTTTAAAACTTCATCCCCTACTTTATAAGTTACTCCCCGTCGTTTCAAATCATAATAGAGCTTCTGTTTTCTTTGTGCTACTTCCGTATTCTTCTTTGCTTCCTTAATTAGTTTTTCTATATCACCCATTTTAAATTCTGGGGCTCTTTGTTGCACATAAAATAATTTATCTAACGGCGTTATAATCTTTCTGCCTAAAAATAACTCAGCAGGAGTTTTGCCCGTTGTATCATGTTTTGCGGTCCCTAAGGGCGAAAGCAAATTCATTGACATAGTTATCCCAGCTTTTATGAAAATTTTTAACATAACTACGGATAATTTTCACTATATTTCTATTGACCCGTTCCGCTATATTTGATTGCGGCCGATACGGGACCATTTTTAAATGACGTATGCCCAGTTTTTGGCACATGTCTTCAAATATATTACTTACAAATTGAGGACCATTATCCGATATAACTTTTAGGGGCGCCCCGTATTTTAAAATATATTTATTTAAAATAGAATCAGTAACTAATTTCGCGGAGGCTCGTTTTAAGGGAACAGTTTCGGTCCATTTACTAAAATGATCAACCATAACAAGGAGATAGCGACTTTTATTTAACTGACTTTTTGGGAAAGGGCCCAATAAATCGATGCCAATTATTTCATTTGGAAATTCGGATTTAATACTATTTAGAAACCCGGCCGGGCGGAAATTAATATAATTAACTGCTTGACATGTTGGGCAGGACTGGACATACGCCCTTGTTAACTTTTGCAGTTCAGGAAAACTAGACTGCCTCGCGTACGCGTTGGATAGTTTTTTCGAATACCAGCATGAGAAGCTAAAGGGCTGTCATGGAGCTCCTGCAGGATATTTAATCTAAGACTAGCTGGGATAACAGGTCGAAATTCGTTGTTGAAATTCGTAGTTTTTGTATAAAAATAATAGACCATCTATTAGTTCGTAATGGGCCGCCCTATTTCTTATCGCCACAATATCTTGGTGGCTAAAATTTTCAGGATCCTTCAAATACTCATAAATGCTTCCAAACTCAGGATCCTTACCCAGTTCGGTTATTACAGTTTCTCAGGAATTTATTGTACATGCTGTGAAGCATTGCCAACCTTTACGGTATTACCTTGTTCGTCTATTTTAATTCTTGATAGGGCATCTGCTACGATATTTTCCTTTCCGGGGTATGCTTGATTACCAGATTATATTCTTGCAGCTTGAGTGCCCATCTTATTAACCTTGGGGATAAATTTTTCCCTGAGTACAATCTAGTTACCGCCGCATGATCAGAGTACACTGTTATCGGCGCCTTTCCAAAATAGACTCGGAAATTTTGCACTGCTAACAGAACTGCAAGTGCCTCTCTCTCGGTCGCGGAATAGTTTCT